TCAAACAGTACTGGTATTCGTCCTTCAACTGCAACTACCACCTGCACAACTTTCTTAATCAATTTCTTTGGTTTTAGGACTTGTTGGTGCACACACACACACACACATATATATAATCACCTCTTCAAGAACTGCAATGGTGGCTGGAACATAATCTAGTTGCCGAGCTCCATGATTCGATACTATGATTCCGTCAACTCCTACTTCCACAGCTTTAATGGCTGCATGCCATTCACAAACATGAAATCAGAAAGGATTCCATGCCAACCAAACATCTAAGCTGACCACTTTTCAGTTCCATCATGAATGAATTCTCACTCTTGGACCATTTAGTTCCTTCAAACCAAAAGTAATATTCTACATATAGTGAACTCATAGCCTTACCATCCTCACGAGTGAGTATACCCTTGATCACAATTGGCAACTTTGTAATGGATTTTAACCAAGCAATGTCCTGCAAAACAAATTAATGATAGCTAACTACTTTACTTCCAGCCAGCTATATATAGAATCTGTTAAGACCTCACAGATCCGGATKCCAACAATAGTAATGGGTCCCTTTGAACAAGGAGATGGTTTGTACCTTCCAGGAAAGAGAAGGATCMAAGCTCCTGGATGCAAAAGCTTCCAGATTTGAACCCTCATTCTGCAAAACACATATACTCCATCAGTAAAATTGATAGATGTGTAAGGCGCCCAGAATAAAACCAACAAAAAGAGAGCGATTTCAATTACATCGTCCACTTTTGTCGACAAAAGACCTTCAAAATTCTTCAGCTGGGGTGCAATCATTCTACACACATGAAGATCAAATTTTTTAAAGAAAATCCCCGCAAAACACACTAATGCATTTATGATGATTCACACAGTTAGGTATAAATTTAGGACCTCTAGGTTATTCCAAAGAAGTCCCAACCACTTGGACATGCCATTTGGGCCCAATATCAAATTTTAATTGTACACTGATCAAGTAATATAAGATATTATGTAGAAAAAGAAAAAAAGTTAAAGAAAAAACACTATTTGTAGGGATGATTTTTACTTGTTCTTTATGTCTGCTTCCCTACGACCAAGTTTAGGAGTATCAKCAGTTAGAAGAATAGCCTTAAATCCATTGCTTTCAGCTCTTTTCACCATCAGAGTGGATATATCACGTCTCTTATAGATCTAACAACGCATGCAAGACATAATGACATTCCAGAAGGAGAAAACTTGATGCAACAACGGAGTCATATATGATGATCACATACATACAACTGAAAGAAGAAAACAGCATTGCAACTGGARGCAACCTCCTCTATTGTGCACGTAGACATGAAAGACAACGCCTGAAACATAAAAGGAAAAAGAAAAGAAAAGGTAAACACGGACAAAGTTAAGTAATTAAGTGAGCTGCAGCAGTAGCACTTCAATTACCATTATGACGTTACATGCTGCTGCTGCTTTGGCTGTCAAGACCTCTCCTGAAAAATACATGTAGGAATATTTAATCACGCTCCTACACAATATATATTTACAGTTGACGATGGGATTCCTATTAAATGTTGGATGAACTCAGTGGCAGTTCATTGAAGAGGCAAAATTCAAACCAGAAAAGGATAAGATCACAAAACTGTAGCTCCCAAGTGTCTTAACCATTGGTTGGATCAACAAAAATCATTCCAAAAGGAATTATAATTTCTTCACATTTAAAGSGCCCATTCTTAATTCCCCTTGCGTCAAAGTAGACTCATGAATCCAAAATAACATCTTCGTTTGTCAACATACCATATATGATAAAACAAAAAGCAGTGAATTAACTACCTTGAGGATGTGCCAACTTATGCATAGCAGTTGGAGCAATCATAATGGGTACTGAAGTTTTGTATCCCAGTATGGTCGTTGACATATCTATTTTGCTGACATCAACAAGAATTCTTGGCCGAAGACTGACACAATAAAGTCAGCAAATATATATATATGTATTGTGACAAACTAGATGAGAATGACAAACAAGATTAACATAGTACGTGATTTGGTGAAATGCTTCAACATTCTGTCTGAGTGTGTGCTGATCCTCAGACCCCCCCGCAAAGAAGTCATAGTACATCTTTGGAAGGGCCTGCCTTGCCAATTCTTGATATTCCTTAACATTGACCGGCTCATCACCCATACTTGGTTTCTGGAGATGCAAATAAGTTTAGAAACAGAAATCACCTGTTAACAAGGCCTAACTATCCAATTCTACCATCTCTCTCTCACACACACACACACACACACACACACACATATTACAGATTACAGATGAAGCAGTAGCTGAATTAGAAGGCTTGATGTGTTTCCTATATTAAGTTGCGGAAGGACTAGTGGAGGTTTGAAGAAAGCAAGATAAAGAAACAAAGCTTACTAGTTGCTATGATGATTTCACAATCGATGATTAACATAAAGTCTAAAACCCTAAAACTAAATACATAATAAAAATCATACCTTTCACTGGTATTGGTACTGATCTGCAGGGGATGAGTTAAGATAGGGTAGATGAAGAAGGTCTTGTGTCAAAAGTTTCTTTCTATATAGGATAGGAGAGACAGACAACAGTTTCCATCGCTCTCATCGATATTATGTCTTTCCGGATATATATATCTTGTCGTGTTATCGGATGATGGTCGCCAATTTGGACAATACAACCAATTTGCTTTTTCGTACACTAGAATGTGTATATACATATATAGATATATTTACACAGATAGAGAGAGAGAGAGAGAATTGAAATATTCATATTGTTAAAATACCAGTTTTTGTTATTCTAGTTAAATACTTGATCGTAAAGAGTATATACTCATCAATTGCCAAAGAGACAACCATAGACTTTTTATTCTTAATTTATTACTTTTTTCTGGATTCTGAGCTGTAGCTCAAAGCCTCAATGAGATGTTGCAAACAAACTGTTTGATGGCTATGCCATTGTTTTTTACGTACACAAAAAAGAAAAAGGGAAAACAAAAAATAGCTTCTTGTTAATGAAAGAGAGAATCAACTTCTGACAACACCTTGTAATGTTGTAATAATCTTTTAGTTGACAAAGTTTGCTTTTATTCATAGATAGATAGAAAGAAACCATCACAGACAACAAACATCATTCTCAAGTCCAAACCATCATTTAATTAAAGTAGTAACACCACCAAAACAAATTTCTGTATAAATTCCACAACAAATTCTCTCTGTCAATATTTCCCACACAAAGGTTTCTTTTACTTACCTAATACACTTGCCTTCCAACTAATATCTAACCTTGAATAATTCTTTCTTAAATAACAACAATTAATTTAATCATGGTTTCTCAGACAAAAGAAGCAATCATCACCATATCTTCTTTCTGGCCCAGAAGAGTAGGATAACTACTCCAAGGACAATTGCAACAGGAGCCCATTTCCGGATCAAGGCCTACAGTTGGAACAACAAATGGTGAGTACAAATTTACATCATATGGTGTCCATGAACACATCCACCAACTAAATTCAGATTCAAGTCTATCTTTGAAATGTACCAGTCACCTCCTAAAGACTCCAACAAACTTTTAAACCAAATATAAAATTCCCAACATTGACCACAAAGCTGGTGGGGTCCGCTCATTTTTAGTCTTCTATATGAAAGTTCATGTACAATTGCAAAACCAACAGGCTTCATACACACTGCTGCGAAAATACCAAAAGACGGACAAACTAACAAAATATGTCATCTTAAAACAGAAGCATGCTAACCTGCCGATTTAGATCTCTTGCTTTGTCAGCGTAGATGCGAGATTCTGAGGTTAAACGGCTTGACATTTGACTCACCTCTGCAAAATTTTTATATTGACAATATCAACCAATAATGATGCTTCATAAGAGATAATTCTTGAAGGGAGTCGAAATTCTAACTAACATCAAATGAAATGAGAGACACAAATATCTACGCATTTCTACAATTTTATGATTAAGATTTAATCATATCTCAATGTTCCATGTTAACTCTTACAACTAATCTGAAGTCCAATATCAGTTCTTGATTGTTGTTTTACATTTTTATTACCCGGTTATAGCCTGCATAGGCTTCCATGTACTGCAAGTTTCCTTMAGATTGCAAGTGGTTTCAGCATCTTAAAGTGACATAAAAGGTAACTGCACATGTTAAAATTCACATTAACATGGACATGTACATTTAGCAAGGCATCCTACAGGCTACATCCTCATTAACTTCATCTTGATRCYACAACACAACTTCAATGGCATGATAACAACGCACCACATTAATAATCTTTAAACTTCCATTGCAGTGTTCCACAGTACCAAATTAACAGCTGTGATTCTTTATAGATATCTAGATCACATGCTTTTATTGAATCTGAGACGTATTTTTTCTCATGTCCTAGTAGTTGACAGTACAGTTCCCATGTTTGTTTTATGTTATGTTCCACTCACGGCACTTCTTGCTTGTTTGCAAACACTCTGCTACTTCTCACACTTGTTTCCTTTTAATTTTTGTTTTCCAAGCCAGGGGTCTTCACGGAAATAGCCTCTCTACCCCTTGGGGTAGAGGCAGCGTTTGTGTACATCCTACCCCCAAACCCTACAATATACTGGGTTTGTTCAATATGGTTTGGTTTTAGACCACATGCTCATACTGCTAACTTCTAAACCTCATTATACTTGGACACATTAAATCTTTTCTCTTCACATGCAAAGTCTGGAGACATGTGCCTCTGAGATAAATTGAGGCACTTGATACTTTTGGTGTTCTACCATAAGAAACTCCTGCACCAGATCACTCTTAATATTTGCCTATCAAGGTAACAGAAATTGAAGTTTGAATGCCTAGATGCTTATTAAGAAATTTGTTGCTAGGGCTCCCGTAAGTAGTGGGTCTAAAGATGCTACCTCCTTAGAGGTCCTAATCTGGACACCACAACATTCCCTCCACTCCGCCAACAAGAAGGCATCTGCCTTTTTGACAAGCTATTTACATGAAAATCTTAAAGTTTTGTCTAATCACTATACAAATGACCACCGAAGATGAATGTTCTTCCTTGGTAGACGTGTAGCCAAATGATAGCAGCTGAGGAAGCTCTTGATAATGTAAAGTTTCATTTGTTTATGGTCTCTAAGGATGGGAAAAATTCCCTTGACAACTATGAATATCCAGATGTGCCATCAATCAGTCAAAAGAATACCAAGAGATCTTGCACGGGATCAATCATGTATTCATGCAGTCAGTGGACTTCTGGCACATTTCATTTGACGGTCGGATGCAAATTGAAAGCTTTGTCTTCAGAATAAGAAAAAAAACAATGATTCAATATGCTATTTTGTTAATTTTGATGGAAAACCAATGAATCATGGCATATCAGAGATTTCATTTTGAGACATTTATTTGGATTCTGGGCACATATAGTGGATGTGAATTTGTCTCTCAATTAAGAAAACTCCAGCGAGTTATTCTGCTTCTGGATCTAGGGCGATAGGTTCAAGAGCAATATCCAAATATTATTTTCTGTTCCTATAATTCATTTCTTGGTGTCAAAATATTAAATGTAAATTAAAAATTATTATCTTTTCCAAATTTTATAAATGATCTTGGAGTAATGCTTGCTCTACTTCTATTATTTCCCTCTTGGCACAGCTGGGCCATCTTTGACTTGAATTAGAGATCTTGCCGATCAAGTAAATCATGACGCCTATGGACCAGTTTCTTTCTTCGTCCCTAGTTGCTTCTTGTAAGAAAAAAGAAAATTGTGACACTATTTCGAGCAAAGAACGAAGCCCTAAGTGAAATAGTGATGCATGTTTTCTAGTAGTGTAATCTGTAGGTAAATTTACATGATCACATCATTGACTACTCCAAAACCTAAAAGTAAACAGTGAAAATAGCTTTAATCCCGCATCCAGGACACATGCATAAGCACAGATGTGTTCAACTTGGATGGCTCTTCCCTTCTGATTTTTTTACAAAAGTTACCAGTCAACCTCTTTGCTAAATTAAGCAGCCATCTATAGGTCAAAAAAGAAGGATGTTATTTTAGAAATCCAGTGAACATGGTAGACTGAGTAATTGTAGTGCGGCAGAACTTTTAAAAGGTTATGGAATGTCTACATCTATTGTTTTTCAATTTCTGATGGAGCATATGCCATGATAAGATACAAAACAATCAACATGATCCCTGCCAAGGAGCATCACTCTGTCACCATCCACAAATCCTAGGTAAGGAATAATAAAATGTTCCAAGATTGGATATACTCGAGAACTTCAGTTTACTTGTAATCCCAATCCTTCTCACAAAATTGTGTTATAATACATTACAGAGCCAAGACCCTGTGCGATTGGGTCCTGTCCCAGGGCCCAAGACCTATGAATCACTGGGCCTCGGGCCTATGTGCACACCAAGGCATGACTCCCAAAACACTGCCCTAGTCCATACTTATTGGAAGCTATTAAAGATAACCTATGGTTGAGATCATAGAAGGGTAACTACTTCCTAGAGAGAGAACTTACGGTCCAACTTTTCACCAACACCAAGAACTTCCTGCACATTACGAGTCATTATTTGGTGTACTTCATAAAGTTCATCATTCAACTTGGCAATATTCCTTTGAGTCCTCGTGTCCTGGTACAATTTCTTAGTCCTTTGTATAAATGTGTCTGTTCACAAAGGAAAGAAGGATAGCTTAGGTACAGCAAGCTTATGAATGTGAATGTTAATTACTCGTACAAAAAAAGCAAAAGAAATAGCATTTACCGAATTTTATAAAGGCATAAGGTCTTGCTGCAGTTTCGATTTGACTCGCATAACCACGCTCAAATTCATTCTTAAGATCTTCAAGGTATTGGAAGGCAAGCTTCTTCGGATAAGCACGGTCACACATTGTCAAATAACATACCCGCCCTTCAATGATATAGCTGAGAAAGTGGGTTAAGGAAGCTAAACTGGGGGGAAGTTGAATTTACCTCCAACTACAATCTAATACACAATTACAGCACATGTTAAAATCAAGATGGATACTTTCATAATTCCTAGATTAAATTTGATGAAGGAACACATCCAAATGCAAGAAAGACTCTCCTATTTACGTGAAACATGGAAAAGTCTTTAGAAATTGCCAGAAAAATCCTAAATTAATTTCCAACATTATATAAGACAAATCAAAGGAGTGCAATTAAGAAGGCATGAGTATACTGTTTACTTATTCACTTAGGTCTACGTTAAAAAAAGAAGTTAAGTCTGGCCTTAATATTGGATAAATACTAAACGTATAAACCTGAATGTGACTGCTTAATTTTTGTGTGATCCTGAACTGCAGATATTGCTGAATACTGTCTGGAAAAGTGTTCTCTTTCTTTGAGCCAACTACAGTCTGCAGTCTTTCCAATTTACCTTTGACACTGTTCTTTTTCGGTTCATGCTACATAAGTAGGCCATGACAAAAGGAAAGGCACAAATTGGCACAAGCTGGAGTGAGTAAAGTGCATGCTGAACAAACACAGAAGAGTAGTTGCCTTTAGGAATAACCAATTCATGGGGCGGTTGGAGTATCACGGGGGGGAGTTGATTGTCTTACGTTGGTAGAGGAATGCTTCTATCGAAACTTCCCCTAAAAAGAGTGGGGAGACCTTTGACCTGGGCTGGGGAGGGATTAACGTCGCTTTGTGGAATGTCCACCAGTTCGACCATTGAATCTATCAGCCGTCATGAAGGAATGGGCATGCAAATATATGAACTTCCGACAAGCATCATTCAAAGACTTCAAAGTCAAAAAACATAAGAAAAAGAACCCAAAACCCATTGTGGTGGCTGTTATCTTTTGTTGTTAGTAATAATAATGAATAGGAGGGGTATAAATAAGAATTATTAGTAGTGGAAGGGGTATCTTGAGTTTTATTGACTTTTAACCATTTCTAGAGAGTTCCATTGCCTCTCGAAAGCTGTAGGGTAATGAGAAGCATTCGACTGGGGTTAATTCGTTTCAAGTGAAGTCTAATTCATTATTTGTAGAACATATTTTCTAAAAGGTCCTCGAGTTAGTTGTCCTATCCTAATGAAAAGTGGGTAAATTGTGTTATGGGGAAAAGACTAGGTCCCCGGTTTGGCATTAGGGACCTAGACACTAGCAAGAAACGATTGAAACGGTGTCTTTAGTATTTCCTTCAGAAATACAAGGAGAAAGGTGGAAAGACAACCATATATTGAGAAAATGGAGGATACTGGAAGATGTATGGGCCAGTTTCAACAGACATCCGGGACGCTTCATTTTGACCTCTTGAAAGGTTCTTGAACAAAGCCTTAACTTGTTGTTTATAGAACTCCGCATCCTGCATATCACGGCCATCGTCAAGTCCTTCCGCTAGAGGAAGGCCATCAGTGACACGAGCAATCATCGTCAGCTTCACCATCTTTACTTTAATAAGCTGCCACCAAAGAAAATATATCTAACCATGTTATATGAGAGTACTATTACCAAAGGAGTAAGGCAAAATGAATTTGTTTTAGATGCTAAAAATTAGTTCAGTTAGGTACCTGACATTTACTTCCACTATGAATGCAAAATAGATATTTAATAAACGGCATATGCTCTTATAAGAAAAACACATACGAAGAGAATTGTGTGGCATACCAACAAATCTTTTGCAATAACAAATTACTAGAAAGATATCATATTTTTCTCGTGTTATAAAATAACAATTCTTTCTGGGCACACTACAAAGATACTGTAACATTCTTTTCCGGAGACAAGTAATTCAAACATTAATATATAGAGAGCACGAAACTCACCATTTCTCCTTCTAAATTTAGAGCTTGTAAGTGCGCATTAACCCACATGCTCTTTTCATACAAAAGAAATTGTGGTGAGTTTGTTGATAAGTTTGATGGTAAGTTAGCCCAAATATATAACAGGGATACTACATAAAACTGTAAGGAACTCTAAGCATATTAGTTACATGACTAAGATCCAACTAACAAAATTAGCAAAGTTTATTGTATAGAAATTTACATGCAGACTACCAACTGCATATTCACCATATTTAGGTTGTAAAATTAGAGTTGTCATACGCTTCAAAAAGAAGAAAGATTTAGTGAAAGCATTATAGATCAATCTCCAAAGGCCGAACAACCATTATTCTTATCGGGGAAAAAACTTCATTTCCATCCCGACTAATAAAATCGGTTTGTTAGCCAAACAGCATTGAAGATTAAAGAATTATTACGAACCAAGAACAACAAATTAACTGTGAGATGAAGCCATGCCCAAAAATGAAGATCACATCGATACCCAACTCAAATCATGTAACTACAATTTCATCTGATTCTAACAAAAAAGATAGTCAAGTACGAAAATATTAAACTATCAAGTATAAGAAATTGAAATATACGTACAAGAAATAAAAGGAAAATTACCTGAATTTATATTGAAGAAGTATTTATCATGCGTATGGATGACCCAATCTTTCCTGCTTTGAGTTTCTTGATCTACATTGATCGGTGAGCGAGGTTTACGAGGATGAAAAAATCTAGACAAATATATGAAATCGAATTATAGGGTTTTGGAAGGACGAATGATTGAAAAATTGGGAATGATTTCTTGTCCTTCAAGAATAGGCCGACGATGACTCGAGTAAAATGCTACACTAATTGATCCAATCTAACTAATATTTTATATTGGGTCGGGTTTCAGGGTGACAAAGTATCGAGATGAAGTGTATTGAGATGATCAATCTCCATATAAGGAAGATATATAGGTGTATTTGAGATTAAACGGCCTTCTCGTCTTAAATCTCATTTTTATATGATTTTTGTCCCTTTATATTATGGAATTAATACAAGTGCCAATAGGTTTCAAATTATGATCTAATACAAGATAGATGGTGTGTAGTGCCCACTTATATATTGAGACGAGCTTGATTCCGGATACAACAAAATGACGGAGGTCAAGGGGCGTAGCCCCATTGCTGGTCCAAGGGTGGCGCCCCAAAAACTCTACAAAATTTTGGAGTTGGAATACAGTGGAAAAACATGATCAGACTTAGTAGAATTAACTAAATGTTACTCCGACTTAAATGATCTCTGGTTGGTAAGTTCGGAGATAGCAGATAGCACTATCTCTAGTTAGTATAAGGACCATCCCTGGTGGTAAGACCCTATCTCTGGTTGGTCTAACGATCATCTTGGAATGTCTATCTCTATACATATACGTCCAGGGCTTTGGATCTACATTTTTTTTCTTGATCTTATCCATTAATGACTATAATTGTTTGTAACTGATTCTAACTTCCCAAAAACACTTCATTTTTTGGGACTCTCGGAATCTGAACATTCTAGTATTCTCTAGCAATTTGACTTTCGTTTTTGTGCCTAAATTCGAAAGTGTCCTTAAGGATTATCCTATGGTACAAGCAACTTGACTGAAGGGGACCCGTGCTTCTGTTCCAAAAAGAGTTGTGTTGACAGACGTAAGCTAGGAACGGGGAAGGATGAGCAGAGAGGGAAGGACTCGCAGATAAGTATGAATTGAGACGAAGAGGCTAGTAGGGCCCTAGTCCTGTAACCATTTATAAGGGGCCAACTCCGCCTACACCGAAAATGACAAGAGCTTGTCGATCTGTCACCCAACCAACTAAACAACCTAAAGGCTTGGTCTTACCTGGTGATCCTTAGGTTGCAACCTACTTATAAGGGGCCAACTGCCGTTTGTTTTCTTTCCTACGCAAATCTTGTTGTAAGGTAGAAATTTCCCAAGTCCTAGACTTGAATGAAGCAATCTGGCTGAAAGTCGATTATCCCCGGCGTACCTTCGATTCGTTGAGCGAGAGCCCTTCCAGATAACCTCCCCAAGCCTGCCTAACCTAATTGTGTGCGAGGCAAGCCAAAACCTATTCCTAACAAGTTGCTGACATGATGATGGGTGGAGGCGATAGGGGATTGGCTTAATCGATTCAATGGGCGGCTGCTTTCCTTTAAAGGGAAGCAAACTCCTTCCTTGGATGAGCACGAGCTTAGTTAGTTTTTATGTCTGTTGTCTTTAGGCATAGGATCGAAATATCAATTCGGAAAGTTAACCTACACGATTTTTAAACAATCCAGATTTCAATTATCATTTACCCTGTAATCGTAAATTTTTTCTAATTTTTCTCACCTTAACTTTTATTTGAGGTTGAGAAAAGTACACGATCCATTGGGCCGATTTACTCTGCTGGGCTTACAAAGATTCAATGTCTGAGGTCTATTATGAAGATTGGGCCTTGATCTTGCCTCCTTATGCCAATAAAACTGGATATGTTGATGAATGCTTTGGGCTGTGATATGTTGATTTGGACTTCTTATATGAAGTGGGCTCATTTCAAAATCTAAATCTTATTCATTAATGTTGGTTATTGGGATATGCCATTGTTAATTATTTTTCCTAAACATTTTTTAGGATGTTGTTTCTTGACATTGTAAAAATGGTTATGTCCATTTCACTCTTGTAATTTCCTTTTTATTAATAAAAATTTTCCAGGGGTTCCGTCCCCTTTTCCCAAAGTACATGATCCATAGACTAATTTTATATCTATGTAGAGTAAAAGTCTAGACAATGATGTAATACGTCCTTGTATAGGCTATATAGAATGAAAACAAGTTCCTCATAAAATAAAAGTCTAGGCAAACTTCTCTTCTCCACTTATGCCTCCTTTAAAGACCTCATCATTTGAAAGAACTACAAATACAAACGTCAAGTTTAGAAATGGTTTATGAAACATTAACTGTTCAAATTCGAGCAGATGTTCATTTTTTGCTCTCACCCTCATCTCCCCCTCACCATCTTGTGTTCCATCCCGATTTGCAAGTTTACAGAATAAGCGCTATCAAAAGGAGAGAAAAATGACATTGTTTGATGATTGCCCTGTAGAAGAAGATAAACAACAAAATCGGGGAATTTTTATTTCCCAAAATTAAGAGGATTGATTTTAGAGTTTTTTTTTTTTTTGGATTTTGAGACTTGATTTAGAGTTTTGATTGTACATAGTTTTGCATCACAAATTTATTAAATGAATTTGTATAAGTCTATTCTTGATGCTCATATGTGTTCTTGTTTTAACTGAATTAATGGACACCCTTGTGTTATTGATGCTTGTATTCAACTTCATATGTGTTCTTGTTTTAACTGTATTGATGGACACCCTTGTATTATTGATGCTTGTATTCAACTGGTGGTGGTTGGATATGCAGTCTCGCCTATACATACATACATACATACATACACACACACACACACTTTTATTTTTTTTAAATAGGATAAAAACAACAAAAAAGATAAAAAGACCTCTTAAGGTTCCATTGAATAACAACTAACAAGGAAGGAAGCATTCAAAAGTTGTTGATGGAATTGAAAGCAAAAAAAATGGAGCAATAAAGGAGTAGAGTTGTTTGGCCAATTGGCTATTTAGTTGAAGGAACACAATACAAAACAATACAATATACAACCAAAAATAATTCCAAGCTCTGAGCTGACTATTACGACATTTATATATACCTGATCTGATATCAACCAAACACAAACACCAACTCATCTCAGCTTTGACTCACTTCCTTTGCTCCGAAATGATGACAAAGAGAAGAATGATCGAGGGGCTGTTGTGAAAGTCAACCATCAACAACACATATATATACATAATATAGATATATATATATATATATATATATATATCTTACTTAATAATCTTTCATATAAATGGAGTGCTTTTTGGTAATCATACCTTTGATTGAGCTTCCAGAAAGATGATCCTCCCTCAGTCTGAAGTTTGCTGGAGGTGTTGGGACTGTCATCGGAAACAAATTTTGTCAACCACACTTGACTAAAAAAAGTTCAAAAACTATATATAGGAGAAAAAATCACCTTGATCGCTAAAGAAATCGCTGCTTTCGTTGAAGCTGCTGCTACCTTCAAAAGGTAGTCCACCCATTCTTGATTTTCTTAGATCATCTGACGACCGATCTCTTCCATCCTCTGTATCATCATCTCCCTCGGAAGTTGTAGCAGAGATCCAATCAGCCATGTTGTTACTTTTCCTTCCGAATTTTAGTAATCGTTTGAATCCTTTTGTCATATCCTTACGAGATTGAACACCACAAGTGTTGGCAACAAGAATATGTTTTTGTGTACTTCCCCATTTCTTCCTCATACGAGCATCCTCTGTTGGATTAAGATTCCAAGATTCCACATTATCAGGGACCTCAAAATGACGATGGATGCCAGAATTCCATGACATGGGGCTTTCACCAGGTGAATCTTGCACAGGAAATGCAGTAGCAGGCAATTCTCCATGTCCAGATTTAGAGTTTATCATGCCATCTACTACTACAGCTTCATCTTGGATTTTCATGGTATCAAGCTCTTGGTTGTCATCATCTTCCACCACATCTGGATCATATTCTTCCTCGTTTTTCATGGCTTCAGGCACCACTGACCACTTCATTTTTGCAATAATATTCCCACCTATGCCGTTGTTCTTCCTAACAAAGGACTTTGACTCCATGTGAACACCTTCACTCTCGAATTTCAATGGCGTCAAAATAACACATTCTGAGCTCTCAGGAGGAGTTGGGGAGTTCTTCCTCAACGACTGACACCGTCCTTGCTTCTCTTCCTTGACAGATGGCATCTCTTCACTTGTACTTCTGCTGCGGGCATAGTTTCTCAACTGAGAGCGTGCAGCTGCTTTGCTGACTACAGAATAAGGCTTGGTATTTTCTTTTCGCAAGGCCAACAAGTTGGGGACAGATTGCACAAGAGGATTATCTGATTGTACCTTCCGCCTCCCAGAACTGGAGGCTACTTTGGTGCCTCCTGATCTTGGAGCTGGGGTGCGTGGTGTGGATGTAGATGAATTCTTGATGGGTAATGGGTTTTTACCTTGAACATTCCTAGAAACACCATTACTGATAAGTTTCAGCTCTGAAAATTCAGATAAGTCTTCATCATCTTCAAGCTGCCCAAAATCTAAGGGCTGCCATCACAATAAAGCATCTTCATGGCAAGGTTTCACAAGCAGATCAAAGTTATTGTTAATATTATATCGCAAGTAAAGATTACAATACCTGCTCCCTCTTCATAGCCGATCGAGCATTGAATGACCTGAGTCTCTCAGTACGTCGATGAGCACTAAATATGGAATCCTGTCTATCTGCAGACCAAGAAAGTTTAGCCTTCATTTCAGCACTACTACGCTCGAGGATATCATGCATGGCTTTCATCTTAACTTCTTTTTCTGCTTTATTGGATCCCCATTGTTCCTTCAACCTTTCCTCTCTTTTCTTCATGTAACTCTCATAAAATTTTCCTCGTGAATCATCAGAAAGTATAACCTCAGAAAAGCTTCGGTGAAGAGCATCTCTATGATTCTGACCATCTACTTCTGCAACTGGAATAGAAGAGTTGAATACAGAAACCTGAATAGGAACAGCTTCTGCAACCTGCTTTCTGTATGGTAAACTGGTTGCCTGGTCAGTACCATCGTCAAAGGGCTTACTTCGCCGTGCATAATTAGGTTGATCTCCAGGACCTCGAAGCTTATGCTCCGTAAAAAGCTTTTCAAGTTCACATGCTTTCATTTTAAGCTCATCGTTGAGTCCTTGGTTCCCTTTCAACTGCTTTGATCTATGTGCTTGTTCAACAAGAGGTTCCAATGGCATTGAGCCGCCGGATCCCTCCACAAATTTACCAGATGGCAGTGTATTACTATACCCATCAACATATATGCTTTCATCCCTTCGAACATTCTTTTGAACCAGTATTTTTTGGACCCCTGATTTGCCAAATTGTTTCTTGGTTGGTGCATAACCTTTCCCGTCAACTTCCTCGGATTCTGCCAAATAATTGCACCTGGGTTGGGAACATAACAAATCAATCTCAAGCCCTCTATGCTGAGAAGCAGCTACAGCTTCCCGAAATTTTGATCCAGAACCACCTCTCTGATACTTTGAATCCGCAGCATTCTTTGACGGAGCGCTTAAGGTCATTTGTTTGGAATCAGACTCTAATGGTCCTGCATCTGCTCCATGTTGAGAAGTTCCAACAATTGAAGAACTGAATTCTTCTTGATTAGACACGCCAAATCGATCTTGGTTACCACCATGAAAAGACTTGATCTGGCTATGAGGTTTTAACTGTGCCTCCAATGAATCATCATCCGATTTGATTAAGGATGACCAAGACTGCATCATTTCCAAAGTAGAAGTCGATTGGTTGGAACCAACAGGTTCTTCAGGCCTCACAGAAGAAGAAAATGTCAACTGGCTTCCAGAACTTTTCTCCACCTTAGTAATTGGCATATCTTCACCCCTGCAAGAACTACCACTCAGGCGATCGTTCAAATCAGGTTGATTTTTCTGGACCTCTGTTTTCGCAGAAGTTGGGATCTTGTTCACAGGCAGCTTAAGAGAGCTGTCAGTTTCCTTCTTCTCGCCACTCAAATCAATGCTCATATCACTAGCACCACTCCATCTTTTCAGAGTGGCTGGAGGAGCAGCTGAATTTGAATGTGAAACTTCAGATGAAAGCCTACGAAGCTCGGGCTTCACAATGGCTGGTTTGCCACCATTCCCGGAACCAACCTCTTTCTGTTTGTTCTCAAAAAGATTAATCCGGTCTTGCACACTGAGCCGCCTCGAAGATGGCTGGGTAGCTGTTTGAGCCATCAGCTCCTCATCCCCAACACCACTACCAACCTCTTCTTTCTTTACTATTTGGTTCTCAGAAACTATTTCGTCTTTTCCTGTGGTCAACTCCCAAGTAGCAGGAGTGCTACTAGGTCGTAATGGGAGGCTGGTGGAAGAAGAGGATTTGGGTGGCTGAGAGGTGTTGGGAGGTTTAGCAGATTGTTCGGCAGTTGCTGATGAAGACTGCTCGGTGGTGATAGTTGGCGGGTCATCATCAATGGACATGTCTGAGCTGTAAGAGCAACGGATGGCTTGATCTCCAAAGCTGGATTTGGGTGAGTTGTTAAACAACTCCGGCCTTTTGTTGTAGAGCGATATGTATTTACAGCAAGCTTCACTGCACAAAAATTAGGAAAAAGAATTAAATTAAAAAATTTCAAGGGGGAACAAAAAAATAGAGATCATGAAAATATGGGGAAAACACGAGTGGCATTCTAATCAGAAGTATGTAAAAACATGTTCTTTCAAGTACTGAAGTAAATATGATGGTTCTACATAACTTTATTTTCCAACTCATCAATAAAATTGACAGCAATTTTTCTACCTTTACCATCAAATCAGTACTTAGATTTTCTATGTGAAATGTACAGAATCTTTTCTCGCTTTTTATAAGGTCTTCACTAGGATTTTCACCTAGTTGGCATTTTAGTCTTAAAATGGTTTAAAATGCATCACGTAGCTAAACCACTTATACTAAAAAAGAGTCCAATCCTTGCATGATTAATTATATGAAACAAACATAAGGAAGAAAATGGAAAAAATTATATTTCCAAAATGCATCTAATCTAACAGACTATTCTAGTTATTAATATTTATGATAGTTATCTCCTGTTGCCTCAAAACTGATAAGGCTTCCCCACTCCAAATACCACCAGGTTTGACTTCAGTTGTATAGACTAGCAAGCACTTCTCTTTTAACAATATATTGTGGTTTGCAGGACTGACAAAAACTTTGCTTTACGCTTCAAAACTGAAAATTTTAGCCTTCTCAGATTTCCCTAAACATCCAAATACAAAGCATATTATTTTCTGTTCACATTTCCTTTTTCCTTGATATCTAAATTGTCAGCTATGCTGTTACAGAGGTCAAAATATGAAAGTCAAGCCTATGATTTGAAATAGCGGTTATCACGATGATAAAGCGTTGGTATAGCAGTTCATATAATAATTATATATATATATATGTATTTATACATACCTGAACATATTATGTGTATTCAATAAAAAATATAAGAATAATAATGTCCAAGTCCATATAAAATTAAATAATGAACTTCATTTGATGGCATGTGCCTTCTTAGAATAAGGCTAGGAGCGATTCTCCAGTGATGGCTGGCTGGCTGGCTGCCTTCACCCCCATCAGTTGGGTCTTTGCCTGGAAAAAGGCTTTCACTATAGAAAATTATCAAGTAGATGTTCCCTGAATGTAAGCGCTTTCGAAATGTGAATACCTTCATTCAAAGGCAGAGGTCAAAGTGATGGTGTCCAAGTCTAAAGAATCAGAATAATAAAGCCTTAATGTTGTTGGACTAAAATAAAACCAAACAGAGGTCCAAAATAAAAGCCCACAAAATAAAACCCAACAGCAGCCATGTTTCTGTGTTCAAAATGCGGTCAATAGTGCCGCTAATCGCAGGACTGGTATTTTGTCCCATGACTGCGAACCGCGACAGAACTGCTATAGGCACAATTAACAGCATAGATTTTTAGTGAAAGGGGTTGTGGATTTACTTCAATTTTTCCCCCTTTTTACTTTTGAATTTGTTGTGTGCTTCTACTAAAAATGTTTTACTGTGACATCAAGTATTACCATGCTAGCCGAGAAAAGGGTGGGCAGGCAGACCTCCATTTTATGTTTCCTTTTTAGGTTGCAATTTGATGCAACACACATACACATGAACGAACATATATATGAAAAATGTGAGTCCAAGACTTCTTACTTTAGGCGACTGGCACCAAACCTCTCTGCAAACAACTGAAGATCAGCTACCACGTCATGGTTAAAACCAGCAGCGGCAGCACGATCACAAGCTGTATTCAAATCCTGCTTCACAGCAGTCAGCCTCACATCAATTGCCCTCAAAAGTTCCTTCCTGTAAGAAACAAGGAAAAGGGGGGGGGGGGGGGGGAGCAGTCAATGCAGCTTGCAGCAAAACCAGAGAAGGTCACACATTTAATAATCATGCAACAGGCTAACTAGAGATGGGTGATGGCCATGCAACTGAGTGACAGACTGAATGTGGTTCAAGTAAAGAAGGATGAAAGTGAGTTAAAGATCACAAACTATGAATCAGTCTTTTCTCCAGAAATATTTCAGCCTTCAAGTGGAATTTGATAGATAAATATTATGGACATGGTGAGCTTTACACCACTGTCCTTTAAAAGCTCCCATTCTAATATTCTTGCATTAGGCCAGCAGAACCTTCACCAGTACAACACAAATCGTTCACAAACACACTCGTAGGGGGGGAGAGAGAGAGGGAGGGGGGAGTGTTTACTTTGTTGCATCAGTCCTGGCTGCTGTACTTGATCTACCATCACCTGGATTATAGTAATGGTACCTGATTAGCCCGGAATATTAGCAGCATCAGACCCATTCAGAAAATGTATGAAGGAAGAAAGAAAAAACTGTGAAAGCGGAGAAAGAGAATGCTGTCAATGTCCTTTTATTAAACTTAGGGACTGTTTGATTTTTTTTCATTACCAGATGAACTAAGAAATTTTTTTGTTTCATGATTAAATAGTCTGAATAACAAAAAATTACCAATTTAACCTTCTGTCTACAACATGTTGGATGAAAAAAATTAATTTTTTGGTAAATATCTTCTGAATGACAGAAAACTAAAACCATATGAATTATCTAAGATAACATAAATAATATAAATTCGATGAGTTTATTACACAATACTTAATAACTTACAATATAATTAAAACAATTAAGCATCATTGTTTTATTACAATTTTTAATTAATGCACTTGCCGGTAGACTACGCGATTAAAAAATTGTAAGGAAAGGGTACATTTGAAAAAAAATCCTAGCTTAATGCATTAAAAGATAGGGTGGGCTCAAGAAGTCGTCCTAATAAACAATCACAAATTCTCATGTTGTCAACTCCTTTTAAACAAATGAAGAAATGAGAAAGAAGGGCCTGAAACATATGAAGAACTTGAGAAGATCCCTAGTTTGCAAGAAGGATTTGGGAAGCATAGCTAGAAGCCACAAATACTATGAAATACATTCTTTCTTCCCATATTCTATTTTTTTGTCTTTCCTCTTTTCTTATCTGTTTTTTTCGCTTTGCACATAGCAGTGTAAAATAAGACTATGAGATGGACATAACAACGTATTGACTATTGATCATACAAGACTAGGTGAAGTAAGACTATGAGATGCACCTGGGAATGCATTGACCGTAAATGTTATACTCAAGCATAAGATGTTAATGCATTCAACTCAGCCTCTGTTCACAAATCACATAAAAAAGATAATGGGCTATATCACATACCAAAGTTACTCGAAAGCTGGTCAGATGATCCCTGAAATTATGTTGGGAAGCTTCAAGTCAGATTGAAGACTTTGATTATATTAACACCTAATATGAATGATTACACAAGGTTCAGATGTACATGCCTGTGAATATATTCTACGGGCTGCTTCTAGCTGAGACATTTCAGCATCAAAGGTGATCACTAGTTCTACAATTTCCGGTGTACTAACAAAACGCACAAACCTGGTGACAGAAGTTATCAATTACAAAGAACATATAAACCATTAAGCGACTCTTAATTTTCTGTAGGTACACTACCTCTCCAACGTTCCCTTTGTGAACCATGAGTCTGCATTTTTACATTTATCCACTTCAAGCTTGATAGATTGAACTGACTTTGCAACTTGTTCATCTACAACCTTCATATGAGTCATAAATGGCTTCACTAAACCTGATGCAAGCTTCTCGGTGTTTCCGTTACTGGAGACAAACAATTCACATCTGCACAAAAGGTGAAGAAAAAGATCAGGTGCAGGGCATGGTAAACAAAGAGGAAATCAAAACAACCACCTATACTCAAAATCTGAAGTTACCTTGAATGTTTTGGTGAGAGTTGGAATGCCGCATAATCAAGAGGCGAGTCAAATTCCATCTCTCTTTTAACATAAGGGAGAAGATATCAACACTTGAACACCCTAGGCCACCTCAAAGATCCCTAGAAAATGCATGATGTAAGTAAAGCTTTGATTTCCAAAACCACATTGTGAATTATTTATGGCAGGTAACATTATGAAGTCCACAGACTATAATTCGCAGGGAATGAGTCATAGTTAGTTCGCCATTATGTGGACTAAAGATCCTACTTGGAATTGTTTAACCTGATAAAAACCAAATAGGCGATATACTCGGAATGCAATACCACCCCAGATCCGATTCGAGACAGAAGAAACCAAATGGCGATCAGTTGGTTGTTAAAGCAAAAAATAGCATTTCTAAATGAAGATAAGAGCTCCTTCAGTGTACAACATAAATTGAAAAAAAATGGAGTATACTGAGAACAAGAAAATGGCAAGTCAATACGAGTTTGATTACCCAAAAAAGAAAGAAAAGTTATGGATGGAAAAACCCTAAATGACAAATCAAGAAACTGAGCAGAAATTTGAAATGTACATAGGTGACAAGAAGGAAAGGATCTTGGGTTCCCACTGCCGACCGTCGATTTGGTTTAAAAAATGAAGCAACATTGCCGGTTCTATTCAAAGAAAAGGGTTTCCTTTTTGTATATGAAGAAAGAGAAGTGGAAAACCCTACAAAGTTAACAGCTGGCTGGCTTTTGTAGATGAGTTTTGCTTTACTTCTTCTCATCTCTCAGACCCTCCCATTATCTTTCATGATCTCCCTCTCCAAAATCTTAAAAAAAGAAAGAGTATAGAGTAATGTCAGGCAACTTATAACCATCATGAGCAATCTTAGGTAACATATGATAGGGATGGAAAGTTAAAAAATCAATTATCTTCACATAGCATAATAATAGAACATGTATCCATTTTACGTATTGTAATGTCAGATGAGATATTTTTTTAATTTTAATTTTAATTTTAATTTTAGTTTAGTAAAACATGAATCGTATTCTCTTTCTTATTTGACTTTTAGTTTAGATGCATAAATCCATATGGAAAACATTTATCAAGTTTACAAGAGTAGGTGATGGCCATCATTTTGTTGGTTGAAGATTCATCTACAATGGGGAAGTTGGTCAAGTCTTGAATCTTGTCAAGCCACAATAAATATTGAGAATGTAGGTGATTTAACATTATTAAATTTAACAAAGAATAAAGAAAAATGGTCACATTTGGTCCATACTTTTATCCATTATAATATTGTGTCTTTCTACATTATATCATATTATATATACACATCATGGCACTTCACATTAGAGACGGAGTTCTAGACCAGTTACATTTTTCGTCAAAACAAAAGGCCCTACACAGGACTGGCCCCATTTTTCAAAAATATTTATTGCCGATACCTAACAGCCATATGACTATTTTCCCCATTTTTGGCCCTTTCTTTTACCCTCTACTGACCATATATAAGTCATATGTTGTATGAGAGAAGACATCAAATCACAAACATTCACAATTCTTGTTATATTCGTGATTTGGGCCAAATGGGCCTGACCCGAACCAGGACAGATTTTTGATCTCTACTCAACACTCATACCTCATAAAGATGTCCTTGGTCACATATCCAACCATTCCCCACAATACCGATTGCACATTGTTTGGCTTTTATATAGTTGGTACAAAAACAGATGCATTTTATGGGTAGTAACAATAATTTTCGACCATAATATATGTGTGTGTGTGCGCGCACATACGTACATCCATCATATTAACTTACCGTCTTCCTACTTTAAACACTTAAAACCACAAGAAAAAGAAACCAACACATTTATCTCTTCCTTTTCAACATCATAGCCACTAGAAAAAGAATGGGAGCAAGTTGTATTAGCTACTCTTGTTCACCCCCTGCAGCTCCATTGGTGAATTGGTCATGCTACTAACGGACCCCATGGTCTGTGAGCTTAGCTGTGGGCTTGCAGGACAATTACCCTCCGCACTCATTGGAGGGTGGATGGCACCAGAACTTAACTGTGGACTCATTGGAGTTCGCTGGCTCATTTGCTGCTGGGGACTAGCCTGTTGCTGTGGCAGTCCTATTGATGGTGAACCCACCTGCTGCTGAGGTGGAGAAAGAACAGCCTGTAGCGGAGATGTTGATTCTTGCTGCTGCAGCTGCTGCTGCTGCTGTTGAGGCAATTGCTGAAGCTGTTGCGGCAACTGCTGTTGAACATGCAACTGCTGCTGCTGCTGCTGATTCATGTAGGCATTCATGCCCGACATCAACTTTGGTGGGGCCATAGCAGTTCGCTGCATTGGGTTCATGTTGTTGGCTCGGTTAATATTGGGACCCAACATTGAATAGCTACTTGAGCCTGGATGCACCTGCCTATTAGCACCTGGCAGTGCACCGACATTACTGGATTGCCCCCCAGCCCCACCCATTCTGCTCTCTGCCATCCTCAGCTTTGTAGTCATGATAGCAGCCTGTGCTGGCGTTATCAGCCCAGAACGAAGCTGCTGGCTTATTAGATTGCTGATACTTGAAGCCTGGTTGATATTAATGGGGTTGCGGCCCATACTATTGATAGGCCCTGTCATAGGTGGGGAAATACCAGTTCCTGTACGAGCACCCCCCATGCCCATCACATTTCCCATGCCTTGAATCCCAGCCATATTATTTCCAGTACTTCCTCCCATTCCAACATTCCCAAGTCCCATCATCATTTTCCTCTGCATTTGAGGCTGTTGCTGTTGCTGTTGCTGTAATATCTGAAGCTGGAGTGGTGACGCTTTATTCAGCATATGACCCAATTGTTGCATGTTTGAATTCTGCCCCATTGCATTTAAATGTGAAAGTGGGTTTGATGCCAGCATCATAGCTGATGATCTTTGCAGCTGTTGTTGCATCAAGGAATGTTGATTTTGTTGCTGCTGGAAAGATGATTGTGACTCTGACTGCAGAGGCCTTGATGGTGGCATCGACACGCCAGGCAGCAACCCACCTTGAGAGATCTGCGAGTTTGAAGGAGGGTGCATCCTTACACCTGGCATGTTCTGGGATGAGTTAACTGATGCATTATTTGTTCCGCTATCAGATGGTTTGACAACTTCATTAGATGGCTGGCCTGAAATTGCTTCTGGGATTTGCTGCATCTCAGCATTGAGGGAAACACCAAATGCATTATTATGTTGATCACCAGATGAGCAAACTGTGTTAGTTGGTTTTGGTTGGAGACGATCGCCTTCAACATGGTAACCTTCACGTGATATCTGACACAGATAACATCCATCATTCACAATGAAATGCAAATTTAACATTCGTAAAAATCAATTTTGAAGGTCATACCAGTGAGCAGAACTGGGCCGCAAGCAAGTCTGCAACATGCTGTAGCATCAAATCAAATGACAAGTCAGAAAAACATAAAGCACTGTCCATATAGTATTATTGGTCAACAGACAATCTATGCATGAAACCATATCAATAGCCCCAAGGGGTTGGGCATAAATGTGGCCAACAAAGTATGCACTAATTTACAAGACTAAACATGATTAGAAAGGGGAAATTGTGGATGAATGCTTATTGTACTGAAAACTTGTTAAATTCAAGGTTATGTTCAATAAAGAAAAGCACCAAGGAACTCACAGTATTTGGAAGAGTAGGAAGGCATTCTTCTGCTGCCAAATAGTCACATTCATCCAGTTCTCCGTAATGCATTGCTACAGTGCCATCATCTCGCCTTTCTGACAATATCATTCTAGTTCGTGATTTTGGTACAAGTGAGAACCCATTTCCTGGAAGAATAGTACATGGTGAGCATGATAGATGATCAGTTAATTCCCGTCAACTAAAGATCTCTATGTTACATTCCAACAAACCTTGGGGTACACGTTCAGTCTGCACGAAATGCAAAACTCTGGTCTTACAAGCATTCATGCTCCCTCCCACGAGCGACTTTGACAGAGGCATTTTACAGGCTTCATCTTTGGGATTGTCATTATTATGATCATTGAAGAGATAATGATTGAGCTGTTGAGTGGGAAATGCCGTAGTCTTTCTGTACTCATCAACCTTGTTCTTTTTGCAGTTCAGTTGATACCTGAAACCGAATGAATTAATCGTTCGATCACAAAATCAATGAACGTGTAAACAGTACTAGAAAAACATGGGGATTAGTAAATAATGCAATGGAGTAGCTATTTCAGCCCTACCCATCAGAAACATAGTCGACCCTTAAATATGTGAAATGACAGAAATGTTGTGATCATTACCGCCTTGCTGAAAAGGAAAGTAACAATCTAAACCCTTTCCTTTTCTTCCAAGAAACTATTATGATATCTGAAAGGAAGTTTTCATAGGTCCAAAATGCAGCTCAATACTAACACAGAAAATGCAGCCAGGATGAAGCTGATGACAAAAGAGAGTGAACATGGAAAAAAGGTTATACCTGACAGTCAACATCTCAATCTTGGAGAACTTATCACGCATACTTTTATCAGCCTCCTTTCCAACAAGAGGACTGCTAGCATTAAAGGGTCCACTCATGTTACCAACGCTAGCAGGAGATCCTACTCCACTCATAGCAGGGGTCTTTGGGAGGGAGTTCGATCTCCTGGCTGCCATTTGAGCTTGGTGTTGTCGCTGCATGGAATCGTTAGCACTAGAAGTCAGAGATCCTGTACCAACTGCAGGAACTGAAGTGACGGCTGACTTCTCCCTTTGGGATGATCCCAATGTGGCTGTTGTTGCAGCTACTCCATACTGCCCTCCCAAAGACCCACTGGAAAATTCCCCTGATTTTGATGACAAGGGAGATTGAGGCAAAGCCCCAGCAGATACACGGGGACTTTGTGCTGATTTTCTTCTCTGTAATTGTTCCTCCTTTCTAGAGTTATCAAGTGATTGCCCCAGATTGTTCCATGGAGTTGGTGGGAAATTGGATCTTGGGAACTGCTGCGGCAGCCTCTGCTGCAGTCGGGACTGCTGAGGGTCAACATGATTAACATCAGAATCCACCATATGCATCTCATATTTATTTCGATTGAGCTCAAACTTATCCGGTCTTTCAGTCTCAACTGGTTCATGTTTTAGATTGTATCTAACCCCTGGCTGCCCCATTGTAAATGGCAATCCCCCGGCCTCCTGACTGAAACTCCCTTCAAACAGTTGCTGAGGATACTTTTGAATGACAGCATTAGGTAACTGAATCCCTCTCCCAACTGATTGTTGCTGCATGAGAGAATTTTTCCACTGGGAATCTGATGCATTGAATCCATCCATGTGTGATGCGGCTATCTGTTGCTGTTGACTACCATCAAGGCCAATGGAATTGGACCTAGCTCTCTTACTCAAACTGGCCATAGGCGACAGCTGGGCATCTTGGTTTTCCCTCTTACCATGAGCAGAAGATATATTTGAATTCATACTGTCAGCATAGGAATTCATCATGTCCTGCCCAGGAGAAGCTCCTGGTGCATTAAATACAGGTCCTGATCCATGCTCCTGCATAAGTCTTGGGTTTCCAGGACCAATTTGATATTTTGATGGATAAGATAGTGAAGGCGATGCTGGAACAGAGATATCAGCTGAATAGGTTCTAGTTCCTGAGGCAAGCATATTGCTAGGACCAACGTTCTGGGTAGTCAGATTCACAATATCAGGTTGCTGCACCATCTGTCCTGAATCTCCCAGCCGGCAATTTGAATTTTCTGGGATTCTATCCATGCAAACCTTCTTCCCATGGACCTGATTGTCAGATCCAGCAGCAGCTCCCAACATCTGCCGCAACCTCTTCCGTCGAAGATCCGGTATATTCAAGTTTAGCTGCAACAAAGTAAGCAAATCTTAGAGAAGCAAGTCTGGACACCAGCAAGATGATTAAGAACTATATACCACTTACCTTTGAGGAAGTTGGACTTCTACAGAGTCTGTCTAAGTTGGGAGTCGGATCTAGATTCAGCTTTGGTTGTAGGGCTCTTAATATTCGGGCTTCTGCTTCCTACAATTCCCATTTAATTAAATGTCAGAGTGTCGTATATTTTCATCCGGAAATTATCATAACAAATAATGCTCACCATTAAATCACCATAAGTCCAAGAACTATCAGAAATGAAAGGGATATCCTTCACCACATTCTCCAATGACATCTTAAGCCGTATTTTCTTAGTACTAGGAGAAGCATCTGCAGAAGAACCATTAACTCCTGGTTCAGAAGCACAATTCCTGTAATCTCGCACCTGCAACATTTCCCATATCAGAAATTCAAGAAAAACCTAAGCAATAATTGCGGACCTAAACCATTCCATGATTAGCTATAGCGCTTACCGCGATGGTATAGAGGGACAAAATAGCAATTCATGTAATAAATAATTTTATATATATATGCAGTATTTGAAATATGTAATACATATCTAATAGTAATATATAATATCATAACTTCATAAGTCGTTAATGAAGTCCTAAAATATTTTAATACATGTCTCTTTCTTATTAATGATGCACTTATGTATTAATTTATTAGGCTACCTCCAGTTCCATCCACGTATAGCCAAAGGAAAGGTCTAAGGAAGTATAGTAAAGAGGGGTCCACAAAAGAATAATGGCATTTACCGATTTTGTAGCAATCTATTGCTAAGGGTAGTTCTGGGTATTGTCTAGTATTTCTGATAGTAAGCCTATAAAACAAGAAGGGGGTATTATGGGGGGAATTATGCATAAATATGATCCAACTATAATGGGAGAGTCTAGCCTCTAGAATTTCTAGAGCTCTTGTGTCCTCGGTTTGTTCCTCCAAAATTTAATTTAGAACGGAAGTTGAGCACCCTGGTGTAGTCATGGTCTATGGATGACTGAACTAAGGAAAGAAATAGAGGCAGACCCCTTTATTAAACTAGTATAGGAAATTGAGATAGAAGGGAAGACACATGTGGGGTACGTGGTGGTACATTGGAAGCTATCGTATATAGGAAGACTAGTGACTCCTCACAATTTGCCTTCTACTCCGAAGCTTTTTCAATCGTATTGCCATGCACCTACCCATTCGCTTCACATATTCTAGAATAGGTGAAATAAGTCATCATACTTGGTCCTACATAGCATCGGATTTCCACCATGAGGGTAAATGGGGAATTTATGTTATTTTCTACTATATATTTTTTAGTTATAAAAGCAAGGGCAGGATGCAGGGAGATCATAAAAATCTTATGACCATTTTGTATAGGAGAGACTAGCCTGTTGATTCTAGAAGCTAGGGTCCACCATTTGGCTAATAAAAGTTTCCCACCCTTCCATTACTTAATTTCCCTTTAAGTTTGGTTCTAAAGCTTGTATTTATAACAAGTACTATATTCGGAAATCGGAGGCCATTCGGGTTTAAGACTTGTCAACACATGGTTGCAGAATGGTTTTGGGTGGAGATGAGACGTTCAATCCAACAATATATCTGAGCATGTTCGGGATGCTAACAGAAGCTGCTCATCCACCCAACGAGATTCTTTCGGCCGCTGCCTATACTTTCCCAAATGTGGAGGAGTTGATGATGGATTTTATCGACCACTTACCACATTCCAAGGGGTTTGCTGCCATTTTAGTCGTCATGAACCGATTAACTAAATTCACCTAGTGTATCGCCTTAAGCCGCCCTTTTAAAGTAACCTTCATGGGTTCCCATCCGCCATTGTATCAAACCGTGATAAGGTTTTCGTGAGCAATTTTTGGCATGAGTTGTTCCATTTTGAAGGCAACACCTTCTTGTTTAGTATTGACACCATCAACAAATCGATGGACAGTCGAAAATCATTAACAAGACGGTGAAGGCATACTTGCATTCTTTCATTCAAGGAAATCCTCGTAGTTGGATACAATGGTTGTCGTGGGCGAAGTTTTGGCATAACACTTCCTATCATACCCAACATAGTATATACCATTCAAGGCAATATATGGTCGAGATCCACCTAGTCTAGTTCGGATGCAAACAGGTAATTTAGGAGTGTCGTATTTGGAGGAGTAGTTGCTAGAGGATGATGCAATGTTAGATAACTTGTGATCACATTGCCTTCGGGCTCAACAGCAAACGAAAATAACGGCAGGTGAGACTAGTGCGTCTCAGTTTTCAAATAGAGGAGTGGGTCTACTTGAAACTTCAACCTTAACGTCAAAAGTCTATTTCCAACCATCCTTTCTGAAAGCTCGCAGCACATTGTTATGGTCCATTTCAAATTACTCAATGTATGGCGAAGTGGCATATAAGCTCTAGTTTCCCGACTCTGTGTATTATATGTTTCACAACTCAAGAAAGCCATTGGGATGCAACAGTCATATGAAGGAGAATTTCGAGTTAGAAGTAGAAATCGAAGTTGTTATTGGGGTTTTATCTTTCTAGTTACCTACTTTTATGTTGTTTATCCTAAAATAGTTTCCTCATAGTAGTAGTATATATTCATGTACCTTTCCTCTCATACTTATTTGTTCATGGCATTCTAGCACAACCTAGACCTATAGCCGTTACGTATTCAAACACCTGATCGTCAGAATCGTGATCTGTAATCTTGTCTCCATTGTCACTCGGAACAGCCGCCGCATTTCGAACACCAACCGCTCCATTTCGAACCTTAGCCACCTTCTTGTTGCTATAGCTCATAACAACTACCCCATTTTGAACCTCAACTGTTGCATTACGAACCTTACCTACAATTTTTTTTACCCCGGCCACAGTTGTGAGTTTTACTTTTTTGTTTCTGCCATCTCTTTTTCCTCTTGAACTTTTTTGTGGTTCTGCTATTTGTTTTTCTCGTTGTAAATTCCAACATACTTTGTTGACAAGGCATGCCCTCCTAAGACCAACATAGTCGATGTCGACCTCATTGGAGAAACAACGAGAAAAACAAATCCATATAAAAAGAAACCCAATTCACATATCAAAATCAAAATCAAAACCAAAGTAAACCCTATCATCAACAACCCAATCAATATACTAAAACCAAATTACACCCTAAGGTCATTAAATGAAATCAAACGTAAACACCACTAACAACCTTCTTTTTTCTTTTGCAACTACCATTTCTCTTGTAGTTATTCGCAGTTAGAAACAAGAAGGAGAAGGGGGAAGATGCCGATGAAGAGGGAGCGTAATGGAGAAGCAAGAAGGGGTCGGAGATGTGGGAGGGGTGAGGGTGATGGTGAATTGGAACAGTCGCCCCATTTCGAACACCAGCTGCTCCATTTCGATCCTTAGCCACCTTGTTGTTGCTATAGCTCATAACAACTACCCCATTTTGAACCTCAACTGCTGCATTACGAACCTTACCTACAAGATTTTTTTACCCTGACCATCGTTTGACCACGGTTGTGAGTTTTACTTTCTTGTCTTCTGCCATCTCTTTTTCAGTTGAACAGTTGAATTTTTTGTGGTTCTGCTATTTGTGAGTTTCTCTTCTGCTTTTGCAACCTGCATTCCCATTTGCGCTTCTGCGACTTGTACTCCCTTTTGTGCCTCTACAACTTGTACTTCAGTTTGTACATCTGTGACTTGTACGAGTTGAGGCGCATTTGTTGTCTTCAAAAATCTTTGTATGTTCGACACAAAGTCCTTGTGCTTGGTTTGGAAAATTAAGTGAGGCCTTTAAAAAGTTCGGTATCAAGAAAAGCAAGTCTAACCATTATGTGTGCTACAAGCAGTTAGATGCATTATGTTAATTGTCTATATGGATGACATTGCCATCACTAGAAGTGATCCTATGGTATCTCATTTCGTAAGTTTTTCATTTACTCGGTTTCTGTGAGATCCCACATTGGTTGGGAGGGAAACAAAGGTGTAAAGGACTGGATCTGGTACGGTTGATCGCGGAAGTTACAGTTTCACCCAAAAGGCTTAGGGGTGATAAAGTATTTCCTGATTGGTTACAGATTGAAGTTGCAAAAAGTAAAAAAATAAGTATATTCCCATCTCATAGAAAATACGTCCTTTCAGATAGAAAAATAGAAAGTAAAGCCTTGTAGTGCTCCAATGAATCTTAGCATGCACCTTACAAGAAACGGGTAACTGTTCCTAGATCCTAAGAGATACCGAAGGTTGAGTGAGAAACTAAATTATCTTACAATGGCCAGTCAATTTATGTCATCATTGACGGTTCATTACCTAGCAGCTTTAAAACAAATTTTGTGATACTTGAAAGTGCACCCAGGTGTGGCATTGTGTATGCAAATCATGAACATAGTTATGTCGAATGTTTTTTGGACGCAGATTCGGCAGGTTCTAAATAGATAGATGATCCACTTCAGGCTATTGTATATTTGTTTTCTCATGGGAAAGTACGAAGCAAAATAACGCAGAGTCAGAACGTCACGCTATGGCACATGCTATGTGCAAGAAAACATGGATATATCAGCCTCTGACCGAAATATGACTTAAGACTTCATTACTAGCAAAAGCAAAATTGTAGTGTGACAATCATGATGCTCTTCATATTACATCTATTCTCATATTTCATGAGAAAACTAAGCACATTGAAATTGATAATTCAACAAGATCTCATTTCTACATAGTATGTTAAGATTACAGAACAGCTTCACGAATGATGAAAGCTCTGATTGAAGTTTGGGTAGTCATCTTTGTAACAACTAACAAGTTGAGCATGATTTATATTTATGAGTGTGTTAGCTAAAAGGAGATATTTACATTTTTATTTTTCTAGTTACCTTTTTTTATGTTTTCCTAAAATAATTTCCTAGTAGTAGTATATATTCATGTACATTTCCTCTCAGGAAGATATGAATATCACATATTAAGAGAGAAAAGAAGAGAAGAAGAATCACAACGATGATGAAGGAAGAAGATGACGACAAAGAAGGAAGAACCCTTCAAATTCTAACTATTACTTCCGTCATCCTCAATTTCGTGGAGGAAGTAAGGAAGAGAGAAAATTGGTGTGCTAATTCAGCTAAAAACCCAAAAAAATTGCAGGTTTCACACTGTGATTTGACATCCCAAACACTGTCAAATCGCATCGCAAAAAGCGGTGCGACGATTTTGTGCCGTGATTTGGAGATATCATAGCAGTAAAGGAACGCCAAGCACGATCGCACCGCAATTGACTGCTGACAAGAAAACAATGAAATTGCTCTCACAGTTACAGCTATTGATCCTGAGACGTGTTTAGCCTTCGTAAGAAGTATTTACCTTGTTTACAAACAGTAGCATAACTAAATATTCCCTAAACCCGTTAGCTCAACTATTTAC